ATGATTACGAACTAGATTTGTGATAATATGAAATTCCACTTAACGAATGGTCAGAAAAGTATAAGAACTCTGACTACGAGTATGACACAGACGAAGATGTCCTAATGTTGTCGAAGAACAAGTTAAAACCAAATTGAGTGATTTCAATTTCTTCGAATATGTGAGCATTGATAATGGCATTCTTACAAGAGAAATATTGACCGATGAGCAAATTATAGACTCCGTAACCTCATCTACAGCTTTAAGCGATAATGAGAAAAATGACGATTTAGGTGAAACGTATTCTACTGTAGACACTAATGCTGTTCCAACCATTTCTGAAATGACACAAAAGTGTCAGAAACTCGGAATTTTCTACAATCACGCCAAGTTCCTAATCATATCTGGGAGTTCTTTTGTGATCTTTAAAACTACATAAATAACATCTATTTTTGCAGCAGAAATGCAAAAATAAAAATTACAGACTATATGAAGTAGATTTAAAATTGAATTTTGTTTATCTTTTTGTGTTTTTTTTTAGTCATACCTACTAACTTCTACTACTCTTTGTAAAAATAACGAAATAAAATACACCACGTGTTTTTGTATTATTATTCGCTTATAGCGAACTCCGGATATAACGAACCAGTTTAAGTTTATTTTTCAAGTTCGTTATATCCGGACTCAACTGTATTAATATCTACGTTTTGAATGAATCGCTAACGCAGTTCAAAACAATATTTATAATGCTTCGAAAAACAGTCGGTCCTTCATGTGTCATCTTTTGTAGTTGGAGTTATTTTGTAAATTTTGTTTTTGACGTAAGCCCATAAAAAATCCATTTTTGTCAAATCGGGTGAACGAGACGGCCACTGAACAAGCCCACCTCTGCCTATCCACCTCTCAGGAAATTAATTATTTAGGTACGCATGAATTTAAGCTGTATGGTGAACTGGATCTACATCATGTAAATACCACATTATTTCCCTGATATAATTAGGCAAATGGTCAATTAAACGTGGCAATTCAAATTATGACACTTATTTTTATTTACCTTACAAAATGTAACAACTTTTTGAAATTTTTAAATAAAATAAATTACAATTTGAAAACGGTTGATTTCACAGCTTAAATTATAAATGCAAATTTATAACTTTGTAAATTGTCTATCTAATGACGTATTAATATATAGGTACTTCCATTTGAAAAACAAAAGTTATATTGCGTTAAAAAGTTTTAGATTGCAATGCATTGATATTTTGGTTCAATAGACGTCTTAGCGGATCTGTGGTGATTGCAAAGACGTATTTTTTTTGTATCTTTAACTGCTTTCTTTTACTTCTACAATGAATTTTTAGATACCATGTTTTTAAGCAAAATTTTACTAAAATGGCGATAATCTGCCAACGTCGGAAGTAAGCAAAAACAGTTTACGGTGCATATGCAGTGTTTCCAGCTGTATCCCATAAGGTAATGAAAAATCGGTAGTTCTATTTAAAAAAATACACTTTGATCTTGCCTCGCTTTTCTGAGACTCTCTGTATCATATAAAATATTTTTATAATGTGCGCACTTTGTGTGTGAATAACTTTTATATGAAACTTTTTTCCGGAAGTTCAACACCATCGGAAATAATAGACTCTATCGCACTAAAAAACCACCCTGTATGTTTATAAATCCTATAATTAACATGAAACATTCACCTTTGATGAAAATTACTAGGAGAAGCTGCATCGATTTTAAGTTGAACTTTTCTTCGAAAGCATAGTCATAATTTAAATCCAGCATTTTTTCGATGGTTAAATACGACATAAAGGAAAGTTCGATTTCCTGTAAATGTCCGTAGAGGTTTTGTTCAAATTTAATATGCTCCCATAAAAATTGAGGTAGAAAATTTATTGCGCATTAATAAGAGATTCTTGTTTTTTTCACTCTGTTCGGTCATTGTTGGTCAAACTGTAGTAAATAGGTAATTTGATTTTGTATAAGGTGTATGCCCGAAGCTACTTGCAAGTCGATTTTAAATTTAGTGATTGTTATGGAATGCATATATTTGGCAATTAAATATTAAAATTCGCTTATAATATTGTTCAGAATACACATTTAATACTCTCAAGACATTTTTAAACAATTGTTCTAATATTTTAATCGCGATTGCCGTTGCTCAATTAAACCAAATGGCATATGTATTGGCACACTGGAAGCTACTATTACCTACCAAACCTAACGCACTTATCTGAAGTCGTGGTTAACATGGTATGTAAAAACGTCTTGGCCCACTAAAATACCTCTCGCCATGTTATTATTAATATATCTGCTCTCCGTTTTGTGACTTTTAAAAATATTTTACAGATCATTTGGCTAAACCAAGTGTCGAGTAATATTTTATTTTCCTTTTGGTATTCTGATGTGGTTTTGTTTCTGTCTTGCTCTCAGGTTCTAACAGTTAGAATTGGAACTTGGCTAGTAAAAGACACTTTACTAAAGGTAACCTGAATTGCGCTACGCGAAAATTTTGACATTGTTGATAAATATTCAAAGTTGTTTCCAATAACTTTGTGTTTCTTAATGCAAATACGAAGAAACAGCACCAGTCAGCGAAACCTCGTGAGTTTTACGAGTCAAGTCTCTACCATGCTCCAGTACTCCTCGTAATCTGTCTCTTCGTCCATCGCTTTACTTATTGTTCATTCTATAGTCTATCGGCTTCCAATGTTTTGTTCGTTACACCCCCGTAACTTTAAACTTACACTACTGTTATTCATATTTTGACCTTTATGGTTTTGTCCCGGGTGGACGTGGGACTTTTTACAAATAAACCCTTCCATGGCCTTATTCTATGCATTTATTTTTATAGTGCCAAGTTGCAATAAATTGGTTGTGTAATCTGTGACACAACAAAAGAAAACACAGCACAAGCACAGCAAAAGAAAGTTTTGGAAGAGGATTTTTTTACATTTATTTTGCATACCAAACGGGACTAAAATTATTTCCCAAATCAACCCACCATTGAGTGAAATCCATTTATCGTTATATCAGTTTTTCCAAGAGTCAAACTAAATGTTCGCCCTCACCTACGCAATGTCCCTTATTCATTTCTTCTTGCCATTTAGAAGTTCCTCCATATTTGCTAATTGCTTCAAATTTGAGAGCTGCTCTAAAGTTTTACGGTACCGGCAGTAAAGTTACAGCAAATTCGATTTAAAAGACCCTTACCTGTTTCCCACCACAGGTCGTTAACTGAGTTTCTAATCTTTTAAAGCGTTGCCATGATGCCTTAATAATCTCGCCTAATCTAATAATGGTCATCATTAAAATGGAGAGTTCGCGCAGATAAATTCGATGGTTATTGTTACAGTCTTTGGTAATTACTTTTCGGGAGAAATTAAACAAAATTGATAGGATTGGGGGAGAAATTGGAGGGTGGAAGAACTCAGAAATCATTCTAATGTAATGATGGATTAGAAATTTTTTTAACTTAAAATATTTTATGTTTCACCTATACATTATTGGCTCATAATACCTTAGAGATGAAACATATAATAATATCCATAACAACCGCAGGGTATTGTTATATTATAATGCCCGCTGCATTATAGTATAACGCCCGCTTATAATGCCCGCTCATAATTCCCGCTAAGTTAATTTTTATAAAATTGTTATTCTCTCGCGTTGACATTTTTCAAGTTTAAACCACAAAAAACAACTGAATAAAAACAAATACCCGTGAACTAAACTTTATCTCCAAA